GCACGAGCTCTAATGGATTTCACACGCCAGCGTAATCACGACGGAGAATGTTCTTAGGCCGACCTGGCTCTGTCCTAATGGTCTGCCCATTTGAGAATCTCGTGGATAATCTGGGAATTGTTCGATAGGTTGAAATCGTATTCGGATGAAAGCCGCGATGGATTTCGGCCAAGAGAACGTAAGAAGCAAACAACCTGGCTAGGTACGAATACGTCAACCACGGTATAACAGACAAAGGCCGGTCGACTCCCTAGCCACATTATGAACCGACATTTGGACTGACCTGTGTATGTGCGAGCTATTCTGACGTTCATGGGCGTCCAGCGTGCGGTGGATATCAGTGAAAGTCCGTGTTGTGCGTGATGTTCTCAGCTGACTCCCTCAATGAAAGGGTCGGATATCGGGCGACTTCAGGAAGAAAATTCGTGTTTCCCGCAGTCTCAGCCGCGAGTTGCATACACCAATCTGGTAGAACCCTTCCACCACAAGCTGGGGTCGGCTGACCTGACCCGAGATGACCCGTTTGACCTCCACCAGGCCCACACGTTTGACCGGGAAGCGAACTCCCGGCACATGGATGGGGTAGAAGGCCAACATCTTGCCTGTAATCACCACCGGTCGGGAGCTTGTGTCAGGGAACATCCGACATTTCCTCCTACGGCCTGCCTGGGTCAGGTCAGGACAGGTCAAACGCGTCACCGCCAGGGCCAGCGTTAGCCATCGTGCCATAGCCATGTCGACGGCCTCAGCGGCTCCGTCCAGTCTGACGCGTCGATCACAGGCCTGCGAAGGCCATCAAGTGTTCTTGTCGCTCGGACATGTGTTCCGGCCGGAATCTATGCCACCAAAACACAGAGCAAGGTTGCGTAAACACTGCACTGCCGGCTCAACGCCTGAGTGGTCCGGAGGTGCTTGGCTCACCGCTTGTTTCGGTCCGCATCCAACACCACGGTCTCGCACAACAACTCTGCTATTGACGGCCGTTTAGATCGCACTCCTAAATAGGCCGCTCCTCGAGAGGCCGGGCACCCCTATGTCACTGCAGGCAGATGATCTGCCGTAGCCTGGAGCACGTGATCAGTCGAGGCCTGGAGCAGGCGGCGGCAGAGCTGACCCTCGAGAGCGGCGGAGGGCGCCACCGTCACGCTCCAGTCTCCGGCGTCGACTGAGCGACGGGCTATCCCAACCGTACACCCGCGCCTCCTCCGGGGCCGGCGGCTGGGAGAGGACGAGCGGGGGGGGGGGGGCTGAAGACGGCGGGGCGGTAGAGCACGGGAGTGACGACGGCAGAGGGAAGAGGGCGGGAGCTGAGGACGATGGGAGGGAGGAGGGCGAAAGCTGTAGTCAGGAACAAGACGTTAAATGGGGATAAAGCACAGGAACAGAAGACCACAGGCGGGCAAAGGTCGAAAACTAAATACGTTGGAGACCTTCAAGATACAGTAGGGGAACAGCGGAAGGGCAGATAACTACAGGATGGCAAGCAGCGTGGAGGACAGGGCCAGGGACAAACAACGCAGAAAAGACTATAGGGGAGTATGAGAGAAAGGACGTGAATAACGAATGAAGCAGATGACTGGTGAAAACTTTGCGACGACATGTAACAAATATCAGGTAGTTGATAGTAACGAAAAGATTGTAAAAGTAAATGCAAGGTTACTTTGAAGTAATAAGACCAAAACGTTTTGTATATTTGTTGCTAGTTACACACAATTTGCAATATGCAGTTACCTACATTGTTACGCAGAAACCAGCGAAAAAGTTGGGCGAATTAAAAAACCGTGAATTGAAAAGTAGCTGAAATCAGTAGCTTTCAAGGTAATTAGCCCCTTCCGTCATTGCTGTCAATTAACATAAAGGTTGTTGCGAGCTGACCAGAGACATACTCACGCAACGTCCGTGATCCATGCTAGAGGTCCCGACCAGGAATAAAGATTTCCTCCACCATATGACAATGACGAAGATTGTGTCAAACTCATGCAGCTCGTCATGGTGTAAGCGTGGGGTTCAAAAATACTAACGGATCACATCCCGTTAAATGGCATGGCGTCCTGCGATATCTCTACAAGTAAACCAAGCCACGCCACACCACCTCGCCCCTGCACATGGAGCACGCCTCCCGCGAGCGTTGTCTGTCCTTCAGTGGCGAGCGAAATGTTTTCTGACCACACAGCTTACTCCGTGCCTCTCCATCTCACTGGCCGCGGCGTGTCAGGGCCGATGGATGGGTCAAACACACTCCCTCCCCTTCCCCTCCCCCAGGACCAGGCGGGCAAGGACCGCTGATGTTCC